TTGGAGCTTTTAACGATTGACTTGGTTCAGGAATAGGTAAATATTGATGTTTTATATTGGAGCCTTTAAGGATTGAATTAGTTCAGGTATAGATAAATATTGATCGTTTGTATTGGAACATTTAAGGATTGACTTGGTTCATAGATAGGTAAATATTGATTGTTTATATTGGGTCCTTAAACGATTGACTTGGATCAGGAATAGGTCAATATTGATCGTTTTTATTAGAACTTTTAATAATTGACTTGGTTCTGGAATGAATAAATATTGGTCGTTTTTACTGGAGTTTTGATATATTTACTCGTTTCGCTTATTTGTTAATATTAGTGTTTTGTTATTTAACTGTTTAACTTTCTTTAGGTATAATTAAAATGGGTCGTTTATATTTATGTCTAAAAACATTTTTAGTTTTTAATTGTTTTAGGGATAGGTACACATATGTAGTTTATACTTGTGTTCTTCAGGATTTCTTTGATCATTTTTAAATATCGCTTCTCCAAAAGAGGGCGCAGATTGGACAATTTCGTAAACACAATTTTTTTTTATTAAGTGTGCTGGACGGTAGACGAAATACACACAGTTTAAAATTTAAAAAGGGCGTCTAATTGTAACACTGGTATCCGCTAAAATAATGTTTGAAATAATTAGAATGTTGAATTAAAAATACATCCATTAATTTTTTATATAAGAAAAGAATGATGTAAGCTTAAAGTTCATATGTTTTTCCGTTTGAAAAAAAAAGAATTAAATTAAGATAGTCTTTTGTTCATATTGCTTGCTCCATATGAAATTTAAGCTTACATCATTCTTTTTTTTTCCAACGCAAAACATGTACTATATAAACTTTAAGCTTGTATCAGTTTTTTTTTGTTTGTTTTTCTCCAATATGCCATTCCGTACACTCCATATTTTCAATTTATTCCCCAATAATATACTGGGTTTATATCAACTTTGAGCTTTGAATATGAGTATAATTTAGCGTTACTTTTATGAGACCCAGTATATAAAAATATAAAACAACTCTAATAAGTGGCTCAATTGCCATATGTGCCTGACGACTTAGGAATACATGAAAATTTAAGGTGTACTACAAACGTAGGTATATGTGTTTATATATATATATATATATATATATATATATATATATATATATATATATATCATATGTGGAAATACTCACTCTTTGCCTGATGAAGGTCATGAGACCGGAAACCCGTGTAGCAAAATTATGGAAAATAAAGAATAATATATTTTTTTAAAACAATCCACCTTACAAACTGAAAAAATTTGGGGTTTCTACTTCTTTTTAATATACACACGTTTCTCTCGTTGGACTACTATAACCCCCTCCCGACACACACACACACACATATATATATATATATATATATATATATATATAGTTCAACGTCGATTTACGACCTCGACGGCAAATTGTTATTTCTGGCTGTCTCCGCGTCTCACAGCGTAAATGTTTTCCAGATTGGTATACGACGATCCACAACAATGCAACTTCGGCTAATGAGATGTTTTCTATTTGCATGCATTTTCCTATCTTTTGCAACTAAAACGTTTTCTGTTTTAATGCAACCGTATTTTTTGTATTTTTAGCAAATTTTAAACCAATTGTACTCAGCATTGTACTGTATTATGCGGTATTTGACTTTTAAGTCTGACGGAGGTAAACTAAGAACCAAAACATGTAGAGAGATGATACAAATGGTATCGAAAGAAGAGAAATCATTAAAATTATAAACAAAATACCATAATACCTAAGAAATGTTTTTTAAAAATTGCAAAATTTATTACAGGTCGATTTAGAACCAGATTGATTTACGACCTGTCGGTCGTAACCAACCATAATTTAAAGGTGATGTCTCTCTATCTTATTTTCGCTTCATATATATATATATATATATATATATATATATATATATGGGGGAGAGTGAGAGAAAGACACAGAGAATGCGAAAAAGAGAAAAAGAAAGAGAGAGAGAGAGAGAGAGAGGGGTATCACCGTTAACTTACGACCATGTTTTTCTTTCTTTCTCTATCTCTCTCTCCCATTGTCTCTGTCTGTCTGTCTGTCTGTCTGTCTCTGTCTCTGTCTCTCTATCTCTGTATATATATATATATATATATATATATATATCCGGATCCAAAGAACCTGTGGAACCGGAAAACGGATTCTTGAGTCCTTACATACATATTAACAAATTCCTCATAAGCACATATGAGGCTAGATAAAAAAAAAATGTACATTTTAATTTCTCCCCACACACTGAAACTTTTATAATAACCTTACTTTTCTTCTTCTTCTTCTTCTTCTTCTTCTTCTACTTCTTCTTCTTCTTCTTCTTCTTCTTCTTCTTCTTCTTCTTCTTCTTCTTCTTCTTCTTCTCTATTTACATCTTCCCTTTCTCTTATACCCAACATTGTCGTTTGTTTATTTATTAAGAAAAATAATTTAGCTTTCATTAGTTTTTTTTTTTTAATAAAGTGTTAAGAAGTCACTTGATAAAAAAAATCGCCTGATGATGCCGTGGGGTTGAAACCAAGGTAGAGGATTCTGCTGATCACCTGATTTTTTAAACACACACACACACACACACACACACACACACACACACACATATATATATATATATATATATATATATATATATATAAGAAGAAGAAGAAGAAGAAGAAGAAGAAGAAGAAGAAGAAGAAGAAGAAGAATTGGTAGCTGGAAGACGGTGAGAATACAGAACAGGTTAATGATACATGTGTTCTGAACGTAGATCCACAAATAGAGAAAATAAGGAGAAAAAATAAAATTATATCCCACAATAAAGGAAATCAGAAATTGTAAAGCAGAGAAAGCCTAAGAAAATAAACTAAAAGTTGGAGATAGAGTTATGTCCCTTTTCAATACCGGACAATACATTCTGAAGTGTTCGTCGATGACGATACACGGTGCCTATGGTTTGCACAATTGTGTATTGAAAAATACAACCAGTCTCTATGCAGACGTTGATAATGGTCAGTAACTGTCACAGGTGCGAGTGTATTGGTGCAGCTTGTCATTGTGTACTGATGTTTCACACTATTTTGCCAGTGATAATCTCATTCGTTATAAAGCAGCTGAATATTGCCAGTGGATATTTTTGCATTGAGTTGTTCACGTTCCTCAACACATATTTACATGACCTAACCTTCGATATGGCACTTGAGGCAGGGAAAACGGTTTGGAAATAGTGCATAAGAATTGAAGCTGTCGGGTATCTGGTGAACGCGTCCAAGGTTTCTTTCAGCGTGCAGGGTTTGGTAGAAAAGCAATTATTGCATGAAGAATTTTAGTTTGAATTTCCTAAAAAAAGAATCTCTACGTAAGTTTTCCGTTTACAGAATATGACAAAAGACAGTGTAGAGACTTTAAAGAAAGGAAATGCTCTCAACACCAGCAAACGTAAAAAAATCACCCTTTCAAAGATGACCAATGTCTAGATAATCATGCAAGGGACTTTGACAATAGTCTTTGTAAATGTTCATGATTTTTCTGGAAATAAAAAAAAAGTACAAAAACGTAAATATATTTTTGTTTAAAACGTCCCAGATCAGCTTATTTCTCATTAATTTAGACTCTTATTTTAGTGGACGCATGTGTTTCAGTAAACGACCTGTGCATTCCTTTATTAAGATTTCGAATGTTCAAGCCAGCAGATGTAACGAACGCTGTATAACAAAACGATAGTATCTGTTGAAATACACGTGTCAACATGATCGTATTACACGTTAAGGAGACCGAGAACGTTTCATATTCTGGGCCAAGTCAGGACACATGATCATGCCACACGCTAAGGAAATCACTAACGTTTCCATACCTTGGTCCAAGTGAGGCCACATGATCGTGTCACATGATTAGGAGACCAAGAATGTTTCATGACCATAATCCAAGTGAAGCCACATCATTGTATCACCCACTAAGGAAACCAAGAACGTTTCAATATCTTGGTCCAAGTGAGGCCGCATCATTGTGCCACGCTTTAAGTATAACGAGAAGGTTTCTATACTTTGGTCCAAATGAGGCCACATGATCGTATCAACCGCTAAGGAGACCAAGAACGTTTCAATAACTTGTTCCAAGTGAGGCCACATGATCGTATCAACCGCTAAGGAGACCAAGAACGTTTCAATACCTTGTTCCAAGTGAGGCCACATGATCGTATCAGCCGCTAAGGAGACCAAGAACGTTTCAATACCTTGTTCCAAGTGAGGCCACATGATCGTATCAGCCACTAAGGAGACCAAGAACGTTTCAATACCTTGTTTCAACTGAGGCCACATGATCGTATCAGCCGCTAAGGAGACCAAGAACGTTTCAATACCTTGTTCCAAGTGAGGCCACATGATCGTATCAGCCGCTAAGGAGACCAAGAACGTTTCAATACCTGGTTCTAAGTGAGGCCACATGATCGTGTCACACCCTAAGAAGATCAAATACATTTGATTGATGATTAGGCATGTCGATGTTTTGAAAGAACAACCATTACACTTTAAAAATGATGATTCATGCAATGCAAGAATTCTTTTTCGAAGAGGCGTAATTTTGGAAGGCTACCTCAGAATGAAATACCATTTTTAGAATTTAAGTGACTGAAAGTGGATTCTGGTGATAGAGAGAAGCCAGTGCATCCGGCTCCATCAAAGAGATGAGTTTTTGGCAGGTTGCGTTAAATTAGCCTCGAATTATATACAACATGCATTCTCATGATTTTCATAAAATTCCAGGAAAGGCTTAAATAAATCAGTAAATAAATAAATAAAGGAAAAAGAGGGCAAGCAAAACAGGTTGGAAAGGAAATATAAAAGGAGGGACCGTAAATATGAAAAACGTTATTGGAAAAGAAGAAATAACGAAAATTTGAAAATAAAGAAAGAAAGAAAAAATGTGAACAACGTAAAGATGGGTTTGTAAAGAAAAAAGAAGAATGGTTCTGCAAAAAAAAAAATAAATAAATAAAATAAAATAAATAAATGAAAAAAAGAAAAATGAGAACAAACATGAAGACAGGTGAGAAAAACAGAAAATAAATATTCTTCTGAAGGAATGGAAGGAAAATACTAGAAGGGAAATACGTAAACTAAATATAAGTAAGAAATAAATAAATGAATAAATAAAGAAAGAAAGAAAGAAATAAAGAAATAAATAGATAAAGAAAGAAAGAAAGAAAAAGATGAAACGCGAGAAAGTAAGCAAGGATTAATGAAATAATAAAAGAAAGAAAGATTAAAGAAAAAGAAATCAGTAGAAATGAATATTATGAAGTGAAGTAAGAAAGAAAGAAAAGTATGGGTGAAAGAAAGAAAGAAAGAAAGAAAGAAAGAAAGAAAAAAGAAACAAAAAGAAAGAAACAAACAAAAAGAAAGAAACAAAAAAAAAAGAAAGAAAAGAAACAAACAAGTGAAAAGAAAGAAAGAAAGAAAGCTAAAAAAAGGGTGAAAGAAAAAAAGGGATGGGTTAAAAAAGAAAGAAAGAAAAGAAAGAAAGAAAAAAGGAAAGAAAAAGAAAGAAAGAAAGAAAAAGAAAGAAAGAAAGAAAGAAAGCTAAAAGTGATGGGTGAAAGAAAGAAAGGGATGGGTAAAAAGAAAGAAAGAAAGAAAGAAAGAAAGAAAAAGAAAGAAAGAAAAAGAGATGGGTAAAAAGAAAGAAAGAAAGAAAGAAAGAAAGAAAGAAAGAAAGAAAAAAAGAAGAAAGGGAGGGATGAAAGAAAAAGAAAGAAAGGAAAATGGATGGGTAAAAAGAAAGAAAGAAACAAAGCTAAAATGTGATGGGTGAAAGAAAGATGGTAAAGAAAGAAAGGAAAGAAAGAAAGAAAGAAAAAGAAAGAAAAGAAAGAAAGAAAAGGATGAAAGAAAGAAAAGAAAGAAAGAAAGAAAAAAAAAAAAAAAAAAAGAAAGTTAAAAAAGAGAAAGGAAAGGGAAAAGAAAGAAAGAAAGAAAGAAAGAAAGAAAGAAAGAAAAAAAAAAAAGAAAGAAAAGAAAGGGATAAAAAAAGAAAAGAAAAGAAAGAAAAAAAAAAAAATGGATGGGTAAAAAAAAAGAAAGAAAGAAAGAAAGCTAAAATGATGATGTAAAAAGAAAGAAAGAATGGGTAAATGGAAAGAAAGAAAAAAGAAAGAAAGAAAGAAAAGAAAAGAAAGAAAGAAAGAAAGAAAGAAAGAAAGAAAGAAAGAAAGAAAGCTAAAAAGAAAGAAAAAAGAAAGAAATCCAAAGAAAGAAAAAGAAAGAAAGAAAGAAAGAAAGAAAGAAAGAATCTTTTTAAAAGAAAGAAAGGGAAAAAAGAAAGAAAGAAAGAAAGAAAGAAAGAAAAAAAAAAAGAAAGAAAGAAAGAAAAAAAAAAAAAAAAAAGAAAAAAAAAAAGAAAGAAACAAAGCTAAAAAAGATGGGTGAAAGAATGAAAGGGATGGGTAAAAAAAGAAAGAAAGAAAGAAAGAAAGAAAAAAGAAAAAAAGGAGGGATGAAAGAAAAAAGAAAAAAAAAAAAGAAAAAAAAAAAAAAAAGAAAGTAAAAAAGATGATGGGTGAAAGAAAAGGATGGGTAAAAGAAAGAAAAAGAAAAAAAGAAAGAAAGAAAAAAGAAAGAAAAGAAAGAAAGAAAGAAAAAAGAAAGAAAAAAAAGAAAAAAAAAAAAAAAAAAAAAAGAAAGAAAAGAAAAAAAAAAAAAAAAGAAAAAGGAAAGAAAAAAAAAACTGAAAGAAAAAAAAAAAAAATTGAAAACTAAATTAAAAGAAAGAAAGAAAGAAAGAAAAAAAGAAAAGAAAGAAAAAAGAAAATTAAAAAAAAAAAAAAGAATGAGTGAATATAGAATTAGAACCAAATTGAAGAAAGAAAAAGAAAATTTAAATTAAATGGAAAAGAAAAAAAGAAAATAAGAATTATAGAAAAGAAAATTGAACAAAAATATTAAATGTAGAAAAATGCAAGAATTAGGAAAAGAGAAATACACCAAATACAAATGTACTCTTATAGCTTATTTCAAACCACGAAGAATACGGCAAAACGAAGAACACGGCAAAGACAAAAAGGTTCCGTTGAATTCCGACCAAAACTCCACCTGAAAATCATTAAGGGAAAAAGGCCGTGTTTCAAACGATCGGTAAGATAAATAAAACTGTACAAAAAAAAAAAAAAAAAAAATTAAATGAAATGAAATCCTGTCATTGGTGGAAATTTGAAATCACATTTCTTGTGAAAAAAATGGTAAAATTTCTGAATTTTATAAGTTTGAAATATATCAATTCGGCGCCAATACAAACTTATCAAACAGCATTATATGTCGCTATGCAGTTTGCAACAAAAATGGCGCTTTATTTCTCGGGCGTTTGACTTTTTATTGGTCCTGTTTCTCCTTCAGAAAATCGTTGACATTCCGAGAAAATATAGAATCATGATTATTATCATTATCAATGTCATTTTTCGTCTTTTTCTTTAGGCTTTGAGTCTCCATTAAGATGCTTGACGTGCGTAAGATATATTTTCGTGCATTAAAAGCATTCGTCCCTTTCTCATGTACGTCTTACCCTTTTAGTGCAAAAAGTCCACACCTGGAGATATTTTAATATAAGAATAAATTTTCGGCCAGAAAATCAATGAGAAATGATTTTTCTTTCCATGCGCTCGTGTTTCTGAAGTCCTACATAACATTTTGGTAGATTTATCTTCAAAAAGTTGGCAAAGATGTACACTTAATATACGTGAATCAGCGAGAGCTGAACAATTCCAAGTCGGACTCACATTTCAAAATATGACCAAATCAGAAAACCATTTTTTTTCATAAAAAGGGCTCCTTGGTTTAGGCTACGGCCATATCATGTTGAAACACGGGTTCTCGTACGATCACTGAAGTTAAGCAGTATCGAGCGTGGTCAAAACCTAAATGGTTAACCGTTTGGGAATACCAAGTGCCGTAAGCTTGCGTGTGAGGGTGGTGTAAAGGATAACGGCTCGGATTTGAAAATCGGAGAGCCGTGTTCCAATTCCAGTCGGGTTCGTTATATTTACTTACAAGCAAATAACCTTAGATCCGCCACTTCTCACCCAACATATGCTAATTAGTCGGACTTGTCTCAAGAAATTATTATTTCTCTAAAAATTCTAACAATGGAAATTGCAATATGAGCTCTGGTACAAAACATGCAATGATAACAGCAAAAAATGCAATATGAGCACTGGTAAAAATGATTGCTGAAGACATTAAGTTTATAAGTCTGAGAAAGACATTGAGTTCTACCTGGATTCTTCCTCTTGGAATTTTTTTTTCTCTAAAAATATACATGTATGGGTATTTATATATTTTGGATATATATGTATATTTACCACTAATATTATCTATCTATATATATATATATATAATTATTTATTTAAAAATATGATTCCAACACGCTACATAAGAGGTCTTATGTTTCAAAACAAGAGCCGAAAACTTCAATGTAATTATTTGAAATAAATTGAATTAAAGCAAGCTCTGTTCCATCTTCAAGCGAATTTTTTTTGGAATTTAATTCAAATAATTATAATTATATTTATGCTCTACTTTTGTATCGAGCACTATTTTTTAAAAATAATAACTAAAATACTAAAGAACTTTGGATTATTTACCTAACGAATTCTTTCCTATTTTCTATATATTTTCACACACACACACACACACACACACACACACACACACACACATATATATATATATATATATATATAAGAAAGAAATTCGGATTACCAACACACAAACAGAGAATGTCTCATATCGAGAATATTTAACACTGAACATAAGGAAAAAATTAATTATTTTTAATAATATGTGGAAATCTCTGCTTTTACCTGAAGACGGTCGCGAGACCAGAAACACATGTCGTAAAATTATGTAAAACAAAGCATAATATTTTTTTTCTAAATAAATCCACATTACAACCAAAAACGTTAGCGGCACCTCTCTTCTCTTCTTTTTAATATACATACATTTCTCTCGTTGGAACCACTACAACATATTTCTTTTTATATATATATATATATATATATATATATATATATATATATATATATATATATACACAAATTTCTTAGCAACAAAAAGCCATAAATACGAACATTTTTGTGATATTAGATTACGGTTGCTGTTCAATTATCAGTTAAGTACAACACATGGGCATAAACGTAGAGCACTGGGTGATGGACTTTCCAAATCCGAGCCGTTATCCATGACACCACACTCCATCCATTTTTTACCAGTGCTCATATTGCATTTTTTGCTGTTATCATTGTATATTTTGTACCAGAGCTCATATTGCAATTTTCATTGTTATTATTGTTTTTCTCTGGCGCTTCTTATTACTGGTTCCCATATTGAATTTATTGTATTTACTAAACTTAACCTGCATAATCATTTTTTTTTACTTGTTCGCCGAATACAAGATCCAGTAGACACTCAAGATGCTGGATGAGAGGTTTTTCGAGGACAAGGTAACAAGTGCAGATGATGAGGATATATAAAAATATAAATATATTTAAAAGCATTTTACCCCAAGCAAGGCGGGAGTGCCCCTACTACGCAAGGGACTACAGAGAGTGTAAGTAAGGAAAAAGACTGGCTATAGGTGGCGGGTTGAGGAAAGGGTGATAAAAAGAAGAACGGCGATCAAGACATCAGAACATATCGATTGAGATTACATTTAAATTTTTGAAGATTATAGTTATCAGGGAAGCAACTAAGAGGAAAGGAGTTCTACTGTCGGGAAGTGCGAGAGAAGAGACTGTTGGAGTAGAAGAAGGGGTTACATTTAATTGTTTTGTTATTAAAAGGGCGGGACCGAAATGCCAACCTAGTCGTACGCTTAAATTCCTGCAGCAGAGGCACTAGTGAAAATAGCTCTTTAGAGTAGCTGCCATGAAAATATTTATAGAAAAGACAGAGAGAAGAAGAATCAACTATTTTTCTATTATTTTTAAAGGTGAAAGGCCCAAGCCAGCACATATTGAGCTCATTACACAATAGTTGGTTGATTTTATGACGTTAACGTTGTTGGATTGTTTAAAAGAGCCCCCAGTGAAGATAGAACTCACTGCTCAGTAGTCATGGCCAATCAGAATTAGCCTTGCTAAACATTATCTTACGCTGATGGGCCTTAATGACGATCCGCTATTTGACGCGGTAATTATGAAAATCATTTTTTTTTGTAAAAGCATGATGATTTTCTACGCGTAACTAAGATGAGGCCCAAGGACGAAATTATAAATCGCCAAGGGTGGATCGAACTTACTACTCAGTCGTAATTGATCTAGCGAGACTAGCCTGCTAACCATTACACCACGGCAAAGTCCACGGAATTCTAGCTGTACGTAGCTTAGATGTGGCACAAGCTCGAAAGTTTGGAGCATCCAGTGAGGATCGAAATCACTACTCAGATGCGCTCCAAGGCGGAAAGTGTGGGGGCACCCGATGAGAATCGAAATCACTACTCAGTTGTGGACCAAGGCTGAAAGTGTAGCGGCAGTCAGTGAGGATCGAAATCACTACTCAGGTGTGCCCCAAGGCGGAAAGTGTGGGGGCACCCAGTGAGTATCGAAATCACTACTCAGATGTGCACCAAGGCTGAAAGTGTGGGGCACCCAGTGAGGATCGAAATCGCTACTCAGATGTGCCCCAAGGCTGAAAGTATGGGGGTACCCAGTGAGGATCGAAATCACTACTCAGATGTGTACCAAGGCTGAAAGTGTGGGGCACCCAGTGAGGATCGAAATCACTACTCAGATGTGCCCCAAGACTGAAAGTATGGGGCACATCGGTACTACTCACTCGTAATTAATTTAGCGAGATAAACTTGCTATTACACCATTTTGAAGTGCTTGTAAGCGCAGCTTAGATTTGGCACAAGGCCAAAAATATGGGGAACCCAGTGAAGGTCGATAATGTTTACTCAGTTGTAATGGCTCTAGCGAGACAATCTTGCTAGCCATGACACTATTTCGTGGTGCCCATAAACGATTTTCTAAGCGTAGCTTAGATGTGGCACAAGGTCACCCAGTGAGGATCGAACTCACTACTCAGTCGTTATAGCCATTAAACCACGTCGATGTGCCCATGTTTTTTTTGCAAAAGCTGTGTTCGGAATCGTGTTCAGAATCTCTGATAAATTTATTTTGCGGGAAAAAATACCGACAGAACCCCCCCTTAAAAAAAACAAAAACAAGCAAATGCTGTTAGTCATTAATATACAAAAGAGGGGAGAATCTATTTCAGCAACTCTACTCACAGCTCCTCAGCTGTTCTGCCGTCCATTTTACTCAGGAAATACCAAACTATGGCAAGTTAGTTACAACGTCAAGCCAGCCACACGGTATTTAGTTTTATCCACGCCGAACTTATGCATTACGAATAAATATCTGGTGTTTGAAAGCGTTTATCAACCGTCAAACCCGGTGGTATTTTCGAAACAGGATCGCAATAAGCGGGATGCCTCGAGCATTAGGCGCTAATCCTTCTTTCCCTCTTCAGTACAATGAGTAAAATGTAGCCTTAAAGGAGGGCTCCTGGAGTTGAACTTGGATTCATTTCCGCCTTAGGCTCAAATTCAGACAGGGGAGCGACAAGCTATTTTATTTATTTAGGCTATGGCACCTAGTGAGGATCAGATTCACCAGTTAGTAGTAATGGTTAACCAGAGGAGCTTGATAACTATTGCCTTAAACTGAAATCAGTTTTTTGTTTCTTTTACCGTATTAATGCTCACTGTAATATCCGGTATTAATGGATGGAAATTAGAATAAAAACCCAGTATTAATTACAGATTTCAAAATGGTATGAAAAACTCAGAATTAATTATAGGTTTATAAAAATCCTGTTAATAAGTAATAATGTTGGATTATAAATAAAACCGATTAATTCCTTAAAAATTAATTTTACGCTTTGAGTTCAGTAATAAATTTTAGCAGATATGGGCTTCGAGGGATCCGAACAAGAGATGAGCATTTCTTAAATAGGGTAATTGAATTTTGTTTAACTGAACATCTTCCACGTCTGAGCGTCCGAAAAGCATACAGAGATTAACCGTGTTCCTCCCACAAAGTGAGGTACGCAGAATCGAACACTGCCCAAAGGCACTTTTTCTTCTCGAATACATATGGCCGGTAGGCATAGATTTACAATGTTATATAAAAACATACAAATAAGCGACGTCTTCTTAAACACTTGTATTCACTAAGTATAACGTTTGAACATCTGTCTATATTTCTGAGATGAGGTATTGTAATTTTTTAAAATTACAAAAACTGCAATCTGATATCTCCCAGAGTTTCGAGGTCTTCTTCAACAGAATTACAGAATCCGTAAGAGGTTCCAGCATGACCCGGATAAATCCTTCAGACACGAATTCAATGACGTCAAGGCACGCAAAGTACAAAAAAATTAACAGACTGGAAGATCAGAAGGTGACACACAAGGTCCATCACCCGCTGTGAAGATAGTCATCAACATCAGTCAACTCCAACTGAGTACCTCTTTGGAGTCAGTAATGAAAAATGATCTCAACTTCGCCATAAGTATCAGGCAGATACCATACTTGGACATCATTGCCCGAATCGAAAAAAATAGCCTTGAACATTCCTCAGGCTTGGATGGATGATTTAAGATGAAAAGTGAGACACGTACGAGAGAAAGTCAACTCCCAAAATCAAACAACACAAAACTGGAAAGGCTGGCAAACAGAATCCTACAGACGAATGAAAACATCATCATACTACCAGCTGACAAGGGCAATACGATTGTAGCGATGGACAAAACGGAATATACAAAAAACTGTAAGACTTCATTTCAAATGGTAGCAACAGTAAAGAAAGATCCAACAATGACAACAGATCTTAATCAAGAACAAGGACCACTTCTCACTTAAGACATTCAGGCAGTTGTTGCTATTTCACATATATAGTCTCCCCCAAATTCACAAAGACGGTATTCTGCTCAGGTCAATTGTTAGCTGCCAAGACTCTGTGTGAGACCTTCACAGTCGCTTCCTTGTATATATAATTGACCCTTTATTAGGAAAGTTAACTTCATATGTCCGAAAATCCGTGGAAATATTCAAAGATGCTCCCATCCAATTCAACCACATGGTGAGCCTGGTTGTGGCACGGAGAAGGAACTCTCAGTATTCAGGGACAGACTGACCTCGGACTCATCCTTAGGAGAATGGATCAGTATACCGCTAGATAAGCCTGATGAAGATGCTGACTTTCTGTACACAAACAACACACTTCGGAATGGGATCAGACATATATCGACAGGCTGAAGGCTTAGCAATAGGCTCGCCATTATCACCAGCGATGGTAAACATATACATGAAATTCTTCGAAGAAATGGTATTAGAATCCACATCACTAAAACCTACCTTATGGCTGAGATGCGTATATGACACCTTTATACTCTGGTCATGGCAGGAAGAGGTTCAGCTACTACTGGACCACGTGAATTCATTAAAATCATCGATACAGTTCACAATGGAGAGAAAAACCAGCAACAAACTATCATTTTTGGATGTACTAATATCTCGAACAGAGCATGGGTTCAAGACATCCGTATAACGCAAGCTAATAACCGGACATTACCTCAACTTCAACTCCCACTACCCATTCAGTGTAAAGAAAGGAATCGTCTGCTTCTTACAACATCAAGCAAAAATGGCGACCCGGAGACACATGAACAAGAAATGGTCAGTATAAGCAGGACCCTACAATGTAATAACTACCCTGGGTACATGGCAGTAGTTTCAATAAACTGGCATAGAAGGGTACAAGAGAATAACAACACTCAGAAAACAGTCTGCCTACCCTAGGTAAAAGGGATTATCGGAAAAAATATAAAAGATCTGTTGTCCATATTGCATAAGGACGACCTTCAAAAATGTTTTCAACACTTCGCAGACACTTCTTCCTAGTAAGAACTCCCCATAGAGGAGAAGATGACTAAGGACTGTGCGCACGCCATCCCGTGCAACAGAGGTAAGAAATATAAAGGAGGAACTGGCCATCCCCTTAAGATAAAACTGCAAGAACATCGTAAAGCCGTAACATGAGGGACAATAGAAAATTCAAGCGTAGCTGATCACATTTGGAGGGAAAACGGAGATAAATGTCCCATGTGGAATGAAATTGACATAATAGATAGAAAATATCACTGGAAAATACGAAAACTTAAGGAATATGCACATATGCTTGGCCACAAATAATATTCTAAGCCGGCGAAGTAATGAATATAATATGGAATCCAGTAATACGGAGTTTCTAGAGAAAAGTAATGATGGCAACAAAAATTGCAATATGAGTTCTGGGTAAAAAAGGTTATGGAGAAATTAAGTTTATAAGTTCCAAAAATTCATATACTGATGTCCTGAAGGATCTATTGCTCAGTAGATAAAAGCATTGTTTGAATCTAGTGACTTGACCCAAAAAGTTGTGAGTTTAATAATGCAGTGGTAAACAAAAAACTGAGATATTTGAGTTAAAGGAAGATAACTGAAATATCCGGAAGAGGCATAGAGCTAGAAAATAGAACAATTTACCCCGGTGGACGAAATAAAGGGCTTAGTTCGAAATTCCAATCACCTGAAGAGGGACGGAGGTTAGAAAGGCCGATACATCGTGAATATCTGAACAAAAATACAAAAATGAGGACCACAGTCCGAAAAGTGTAAATAGTATAAATTATAACATTTGAATAAGATTTCTCTCAATATCTCATTAATGCCCCCTTTCCCCCCCAAAAAAAAATGGTACAGTGGGCTTTCACGTGCTAGGATAATCCATGGCACTACGTTATAATAGTTGGTTTCCTTGATGATTACTAATAAACAGTGAGTTCGTTTCCCTTGGGTGTCTAATATGTCTACTAAGCTTATAAGTAACAACTAAACTGAGCCAATCATCTGACGAAGAAGAAATTCCTAATAACAATATTGAGAGACGATTTTGCCAAATCTTCCACTTCAGCATCAAGGCCTTGTTCTTAACTTGTGTTCTTTCAATTGCATATTAAATTTCAAATTACGTTACTTTGCGTTTGTTTTCGATATTATCTGTCTTATATTTTTAAAATATAGCTCACCAAGTTACAACTGGCTTTTTCCAAGTTTATCCTTCCTCCGATATAGTTTTCCTTCGAGTGGCCTCGCAACTAGCAATCACACCACGCACCCTCGTTGAACGTTCGTAGAGGTCGTTTCTTGCTTAGCTACATTACTATACTTACTACATTGTGCTTTCGACAAGTCTCTCTCCATTCTCTCTCCATTTTCTCTCCATTTCTTCACTGTAAATAAACGTCATTCTTTGACTCACTTGAGTTTAAGATGCGTCGGGGGTGTTGTCAATATATTGCAATAAAGCAGTTCAGTTTCATCCTCATTGTCCCACCATTTCCTTCCCCACTCCATAATCAAGATCCCCCAAATACTTCTCGATTTGGCGCTTTCTCGTAGAAGTGTCGTTTGTTTCCTTCACCTCGACCATGGCGCGAACACAGGTAGACGTATCTCATCTCTCATCTAGACTTTCCTTTCTTTTCCTTTCTTTTCCTTTCTTATTCCTATCGTTTATCTTTGATGTGGATTTTTCTTTCGTTATCTCTTTCATTTATTTTCATCCTTTTCTTTTTCTTTTTTCTCTTCTTATTCTTTCTTTTGGCGTTTTTTTTCTTTCATTCACTTCCGAAAATTTCTAGCTTACGGCCACGAGAGGTTGAAACATTGGTTCCCGTACGATCACTGAAATTAAGCAACGTCGAGCCTGGTCAGTACCTAGATGGGTGACCGCTTAGGAATACTAAGTGTTGGATGTGTGGATGGTGTAACGGATAATGGCTCGGAAGTATTAATCAGAATGCCGAGTTTCAATTCCAATCAGGTTCATTATATTCACTTACGGGCAAATACACTTGAGAAAGGTATAGTTATGTGTAATTTGATTTGTGTTAATATTTTAGTTTGTTATTGGGTTCATCTCCCTCCCCTCTCATTTTTTCATCATAGATTTTTATATATATTTTAGCATCATTAAATTTTTATGTCACGGGGCGCGTTTTGTAGGTCTCCCTAGTGAGAATGTGGTATGATGGTGTACGGAGGATTGATTGGTGACGGACGAGTTTTTGTGGTGAATGTGGAAATTGTAATGTATGAACGGGTCGTGAATCGGATTAGCTAGGTATAGGATAGTTAGTTAAGACCAGCCGCAATCTCTCCCCCACTTTTTCGGCCTAGTGCCATAATTGTATTTTTTAATGCAATAAATATTCAGAAAGGTATAAATCCATCTCTTATCCCACAACTATGTGTTAATTAGTATGATCTTTATCACTAAATCTATTATTATCTTAAAAAAATAAATACAATGAAAATTCGTGCAAACCTTTTAGATTTCGGCATTAAATAACACATCGGGGTGTTGGTATGCCACTAAACAAAAACAACCAAGAATTTATCTTTTCTTTCGCTTTCTTTTTCTACGCTCTTTCTTTCTTTCTTTTTTTCTTTCTTTCTTTCTTTCTTTCTTTCTTTCTTTCTTTCTTTCTTTCTTTCTTTCTTTCTGCCTGATTCATCTACTCTTTTCCTTTTTTTTTTTGTAAACTATGCTATATTTTTGCTTCTTTCCACTTTCGGTTTTCCTTTTTTCTTTCTTTCTTTCTTTCTTTCTTTCTTTCTTTCTTTCTTTCTTTCTTTCTTTCTTTCTGCCTCTTTCATCCGCTGTTATTTATTCTGTATGTTATGCTACATTTTCCTTTCTTTCTTTCTTTCTTTCTTTCTTTCTTTCTTTCTTTCTTTCTTTCTTTCTTTCTTTCTTTCTTTTCTGTTATTTCTTCTATATGTGATTTATTTTCTTTATTTCTTTCTTTCTTTCTTTTTTCCTTTCTTATTTTTCTTTTTTCTTTTACCGTTTCTTTTCTTTTATAACTGTCATTTTCCTTTCTTTTAATATTTTTTTTCATTCTTAATTTTTTTTTTCATTTTCTTTTCTAGTTGGTTTTCTTTGTTGTACTTTTAATATTTTTTTTTTATTTTATTTTTACTTTATGTCCCTGTTTCATTTTTATCCTTCTTCATTATTTCGGAACAAAAATTCATTGAATTATGATACAGGAAATCAATTATTTTATAAAACGTCATATAACCTAATATATATAATTATAATAATAAGTAATTCTGTTTTCCCAATATCACCTTTCCTAACAGAATTACTACTCTCCTAAGCCAACGTACACAACTAAATCAAGAAATCAAAAGAAAATGGTTGAATTCAACACAACAATAAAAACATTATTTCCATACGTGATAGTACTTGACATAAATTTCAGTTGGCAATATGAATCCAATAGCGTTTTCTTAATTCATCTAGTTGCTAAGAACATTTTTTTTGTTGTTAATAGTTACTTTGCTTTCAAGAAATTCATTTCGTCTTTGCCTTGAAAAAGACCACATTGGACGAAACGCGTCGGCCAATGACACTGTTTTAATGACACTGTTTTCTCCTAGTCTTTTTCTAAAGGTTAACTGAGAATTTTTTTTTCATATATATATATATATATATATATATATATATATATATATATATATATATATATATATATCAAAAAAAAATTCCCAGCATCCTCCGTTCGTCCGCATGTGTAGTCGTACCATCACAAGCAAATTTATTCCTCTGATAAGGACGAAACGCGCCACAAGAAAAAAATTTTCCACTTTGTCATCCATATATATATGGGAGAGATTTGCAAACCTAAATATATATATATATATATATATATATATATATATATATATATATATATATATATATATATATATATATTTGAACCTTTTTAAAATCCTTTATTCTACATTCAACAGCATCACTTGATAAGACAGCAGAAGTGTTGACCAAAATGGCTATTGTTTAGTGATTTTATAAAATGTTTATATTACAATTTTCGAATAAAAAATTATATTTGCTCTACTCTGTATTGATCACACTTTTAAGGATAGTATTTGTTGGTTATTGGAATTTATTCCGTATGCAACAATCCTATACTTGTATATATATATATATATATATATATATATATATATATTAGGGCTGCAAAAATTCCGCAATCATATTCTTTCTTTGCTATTTTCTCCATCTTTTCTATTTTCAATCCATTTCTTCATATATTACGTTTTTATTCTTTTTTCAATCGCTTTTTTCCCAGATTTTTCTTCTTTCTTTCTCCGATTCTTATTTCCTTTTATTCTTTTTCCATTTGAAAGATGTTTTATTTACACCTGCTTTTTATTATTATTCTTATTATCCCCCCCCCGCTACCCACTAGAATTTTCTTAATTATTTTTCTTTATTTTTAATTTTGCTTTTGTCATCTAGCTTAGAGTACTCGGTGTTGTGGCGCTCTGTGAAGATTAATAATGAGTTCGACTTAGTTATTTGCTCATTTCCTTAATTCGATTTTACTTGTTACTTAACACTTGTGGCCCTATGCCAAACTAAACTTCGTTACATTTTTTTATACCTATGTTTTTTTTTGTTCTCTTTAAAATGGTCTTTCCACAACCATAATTTTTTTATGTCTCTTTTTTTTTTTTTTTTTACTTCCGGATTCTACTTACATCTGCGTGAATGAAGCTGAAAATGGAAGGTTTTGTTCTCTTGATCCAATGAGAAAGCAACTCAAATTTAACGGTTTATAAGACAGGTATGTCAGCTATTGCAGGTGTACTCCATGCTTTTGATAAAACCCATAATGTTACGGCTCCCGACAGGACTATTTCCTTTTGACTTATTTTACCGGAAGCTTCATTTGTATGTCTTTAAAGTAGTTCATTTGTAATTCCGTTTATTTCAAGTTTACATTGATCAGCGGTATTTATTTTTTTTCTCCTTAATTTCTTTTACATTTTGTTTATTTTCTGTTTTAATTTTGTTTCGGAATAATAATAATAATAATAATAATAATAATAATAAAAATAATAATAATAATAATAATAATAACAATAGACCATCTAATCTCAGGATGTTCTAACTTGCCCCAAATGGAGTGGGGCAATACTTACACTGGACAATGTGCAAACACTTTGGAAAATGTAAGCAAACACTTTGTATGAACATCGGCCAGCGCCGGTTACAGAAATATGTCACCATTCTATGGGATTATACCATCCACACAGACAGAAAAATTGAAGCAAATAGGCCGGACAAAAAACCAGAAAAAAAAAACTTGCCTACTAATTGATATGGCTTGTCCAGCGGATTGTAACATAGCAACCAAGGAATTTGAAAAACTATCAAAATACAAAACCTGGAAATTGAAATAGAAAAATGTGGAAATTGAAAACAAGAATAATACCAGTGGTAATAGGTGCACTTGGAATTATAAAAAATGGAACAAAACAACACATTGAAAGAATCCTGAAACCCCAGCTTAAAGAGACATACAGAAAATTGTCTTATTAAGTACAGCACACACACTAAGGAGAACTTTGTCTATGTAACGCTAAGCAACTTCATCGGGAAAAAAAAAAAAAAAAAAATTAACATGAAATGTGGCCATAACAACACACCACGACCTGCCTTAAAAAGTGTGTCCATAGCAGAAATCGAATGATGATGATAATAATAATAATAATAATAATAAATAACCTAAAAAAAAAAAATTGAAAGCAAAATAGATACCTGGGGATTGTTGGATAGAACATATTAAATTTTAAAAAGGGATTCAGAAAATACAAGGATCTTGAACTGGAAAAAGAAAAAAGAAATACATGAAAAAAATGTATTCAGTTGTAAAGAAAATCCACACAGACATATTAAACGAAGAAGCCCATGCCTTAACTTTATTCTATGTGAAATGTTTATCTAATTATAGATTATTTTTTTTTATTGTTATTATAAATCACCAGTGGAAGATGTAATTAAGCCATTTCTAATGTATTCTTCTGTAGAACCACATTTCTGTGGCCTGTAACTTCCTCTTCATTTATGGGGAGATTGTTCAGCACATACTGATATACAAGAGGTCTGATGTCACATAACTAATACAGCACTCTTTGCTTTGTTTCTAATGAATTTTTCCTGTTTCATAATACATTGTTTAGCTTTCATTGCCATATAGGAAGACAGATATTACATAGCAGTTTAGCGGTCGTTTTTTGTTTCTAATACAGTTTTCCTATTTCTTATTACATTGTTTAACTTTGACTGCAATAGAAGAGGATTGATATTACGGAGCAGTACAACAGTATTTTATTTGTTTCCAATAAATTCTTTCCGTTTATTAATATTTGGTTTAGCTTCCATTGCCATATCGGACGATCGATATTATGCAGTTGTCCAGCAGTATTTTCTTTTTTTCTGATAAAATTTTCCTGTTTCGTAATACATTGTTTAGCTTTCGTTGCCATATAGAAAGACAGATATTATGTCGTAGTTCAGCAACTCTTGAAATTTACCTGTTTCTTAATTCTTCGATTAGATTTCATTACAATATAGAAAGATTGATATTGTGTAGCAGTTTACCTCTCTTTTCTTCGTTTCTAACGAACTTTTCCTGCTTCTTAATACATTGACATATCGGAGGATTGATATTACGCAGCAGTTTAGTATTTTTTTTTTCTTTTTAATGCAATTCCCGTCTTTCTTAATACATCGTGTCTTTCATTGCCATATAGGATGATTGATATTACATATAGCATTTCCGCCATCTTTTCTTTGTTTCTAAAGAAAATTTCCTGTTCCTCTGCATTTTGTTTAACTTTGGAATGCGCATTTCGCTGATCCAATATGCGTTCAGATTTCGATGGCAAATCTCGCATCCGCTGTTAAACACTCAGATATTTAAATTTTTTTCTTGACAACCCTAATTTCTGATTAGCATGTTGTACCTCTTCTCTTGCTATCAGCCATACTTTCTGTCTTCTTACTGTTGAGAGATAATTCTTTTTCCTTATCATTCATGTCTAGGAGGACTTGTAGTTTTGTCTGTCTGTTTTCTGCCATCATAGAAGTTTCATCTGTGGCTTTTATATTGTTAAGTTTAAAACTTGTTAATAAAACCTAGCTGGTCCTTTCAATATTAAATAAATTTTCTTTACTTTTTCTTCATCACGGTCTAAACATTATTCTTTCGATTATTTCGTCCCAAGGAAGACAATAAAGCTACTAAGACACAATGTATTACTGAATATGAAAGAATATGAGAAAAAGAAAAAAAAAAGTTGGATGTTTACGAACAGTCGTTGCCACTTTTGCAATGCAACAAATAATCGTTGTCACTTTCTTAATGCTCTTTGTAGAAGAGACTTTGTAATCGTAGATACAACTATATTAACGCCGTTGAACAATACTGATGTCAGACGCCTTCGAATAGTACTCACACTAATAGTACTTGTTTGATAATACACGCTTGAATAGTAAGCCCTATAGTGATCCGAATAGAGAAATAGTATAGTGAATAGAGTAGAGAATAGCGGTCCGTATAGTAATAGAGGATAGAATAGAAATAACGATTCGAATAGTAATAGAGGATATACTAGAATTGGATACCTAGACGTCACACGATTTCGTATATATGCGTTTCCTGTATGCTCACCTCGTCTACTTAATTCAATAATGGGATCGCCTGTCTTTACTCACTGGCGATCTATGTTCAAACTCAAGTGTCGGCAGCGGCACTTTATTCCTATATAACACATTTTTAAGCGAAGAGAACAATGAAAGAACAAAAATATAAGAAGATGGAATATGACGATTGACATTGCATTTAAATTTTTGAAGATCAGAGTTGACTGTTTTTTGAAGAAACCGGGAGAGATTTCTCACAAGCGATAATTGCGAGAGAATAACCAGTTAATATAGAAGTTGCGGTTATATCTCACCATTTTGCAATCTGTATCACCCCAAGCATGGCAATAGAGCCCCTATCACGCATGGGGTTAAGGGGTGTAGAG